TGCCAAAGAGGTGGAACTGGCATCACTCCCTTCTACACAAGCTATTTACAAACAAATTATGGTACTAGGTATTCTAGAAAGAGTACATGTAAGCATCACTAGCCATGTTCATGATATACATATATATATATATATTTTAAAGTAGATAAAGTACAAGTACTTCTTTGTTTACGGTAGATAAATGCATAAATAAATAAGAAATATGTCCATATATATATATAAATACTGGTACATGGAAAGAGAGGGTTTAACTCCACTCAGCACAAACTAGGTCATTTTGGGACTAACACATGGTTCAATTTTATTTCAATAATTCACAACGCACGAGGTTGGACAGGCAACCCTATTCCTTGTCACGTACAACAGGGGAATTGAAACCACAGCAGTAGCCTCAATGTGATACATCGCGCACATGCTAACCATTCGGCCATCCAAAATCCACTCGCCTCCCCCCCCCACTCTCTAGAGGGAGAAATGGGGTTAAACGCCAATTTGACAAACACGATGTTGTTTCGGGAATATCATATGGTCCATTTTATTTTATTTGCATGTAGGAGTGTTTAACAGTGTAAGGACCTAGAGAAAACCCACGATGCTTGACAGGCGATCCTACTCCATGTCACATACAAGCTGGGAATCGAAACTACATCACTTGACTCAATGACAGGCCTCATGATCTAAAGCACAACCTCTAAACAATTCACAATTCGTAGCTTAATGGAGCTAAATCGCTAATATTTGGGGTCTAGAAATTGACACAAATGGGTTGCAACGCATATAATAATGTAATATGAATGTATATAAACTAATTTACATTCAATCGTTTCTGTTTTTACTCTAATTTCTAATCAGTTATGTTCGGCGAAATATGCCAGAAGTCTCAATCGAATGGGAATCTCTAGCGTCTTGTTATTCCAGTCTACACCGATTGTATTTATTGCGCATGCTCTCCAGAAAAGAATATGATGTCACCGTTTGACATGACTTGTTGAATTTGCTTAGCCTGGTTTTCCGAGTCCCTTGTTACAAATGGCGCTGAAACGCATTATGGTACACGATTCGTGTACCAATGGTAAAATGTTTATTTTGTCTTAAATATTGGATATCAGAAGCCCATCTTTTCCCGGTAAGATCACAACATCAATGTTGATTTAAATTGGCAAAAAATTCGCGTTTTGAATTTTGAAGATTTTGGATGATATTGAGTTAGAGACTTAGCTACTTTAAGTAGCAATGGTTTAGATTTTAGAAGCTTGAGCTAACAATTTGGCACCTGAAATAACTGCTCCATCTTGACCCTCAAACTCGCATGGTGAAATGAAAAGTTGTAAACTATTTGAGAACTGTATCCTAATTCCAGTCTAGCTTCAGTCGGTTTCAAAAATAAGCTGCCAATCCAAAACCAGGGGACCTGGAGAAAACCCATTAGGCTGGACAGGTGACCCTACTCCTTTTTTACCACTGCTAAAGACCCTCACATGCAAGGGAATTATTGAAATAAATTTTGATTTTTATTTTGTTATCTCAATTAAATGTTAAAAAATCTAAATAAGTGAATTAAGCCTTTGGAAAAATACTAATGACCAAGAGAGACTTTGGTACATGTAAATACATGCAATCGTTAATGCTAGGTTCCCACTATTAGGATTTGTGCTACGATTGAAATCATGGTTTTAATCGTGGAGTAATCGTGGTGATCGTATCAGGTCTTATGTTGATCGTATTGAAACGTATCCGAACATATCTGCACATACCAGATCTTGAACTCAATAGGGACAATCCTATCGTAACACTTAGCACGATTGTGGGAAGCTAGCATTAGTTGCTTCAAGAACACATTTCATGTTATTTCAACTTAAACACATATATGTACAGTAGGCACTATAAAGTAGTGGATATATACACACACAAAACAAAATTAAACTAAAAGAGGCATTATGTAAGATTTATATCAAGATCTGACCGTTCTTGCTAAAATAGTTCAAAATAATAGATAAAGAAAAATGAATATATTCCAAATTTCAGCCAAAATACATTTTTCTGAGTGAATTTATAAAGTTTCGATAAGAAATAGTCTATATTTTCACGATTGTTTTCAATTTTCAGTCCTTCAATCGTCAGTCACAGAGAGTGACACCATATTGTCGATTTAGCTCTTACATAATGCATCAGTCGCTGTTTGTATTTTAGAGGAGAGCCAAAAAAAGCTCCCCAAATCAACAAATTAAAAATATCACTCCTCTGAAAAAAGCTCTCCCAGTTTCGATAAGAGAGATAAATGGGGTTTAACGTCCACTCGACACAAACTAGGTCATTTTGGGACTAACATATGGTTTATTATTATTTCAATAATTAGCTTGCGTGTAGGGGTCTTTAAAAGTGGGAGGAAACCGGAGAAAACCCACGAGATTGGACAGACAGCCCTACTCCTTGTCACATACAACGGGGGATTCGAAACCACGCCAGTTGACTCAATGACAGGCCTTATGATACAGCGCGCACATGCTAACCATTCGGCCACCCAACCTCCCAGTTTCGATAAGAAGAGTGATTTAGAAATTAAGGAGAGTGATTAGTTGTGTGTTTGAGAAATGGTTCTGAAGATCAAAACTGCATGTTAGGGGGTCATTCCCGGTTTCATAAATGAAAATACCTCCCCCCCCCCCAACCCCCCATGACTTTGTAAAGGAGAGCAATTTTCAATTTTAAGGAGAGGGAGAAAAACCTCCACTCGGTCTACATTCAGGTGAGCGTCGGACGCTCGAGGGCAATCGCTCACCTTTTAAAAACAATGAATGATGCATACTTAAATACATGAAACATATTTAAACTAAAATACAAATATGGCTATGGGGATTACAAAATCGCAATTTTACTAGTCATCTTAAACTACAAATCAATTTACGACAATCTCCATTTCTCAAAAATTGTACATATTATATTTATTTCATGTAAGCCATGGGGGTACTCGATTGAACTTTCCAGAATTGAATTATCCCAATCCCAAGAATAGTGACAATTGAGTGAAAAGGGGGATTCGAGCTACAATGCATGTGTCATGATCTGCACAAGGAAATATCTCAACCAATCATGACATCTGAAACATATTTGTTGTGTTTATTTACATCATAATTCTACTCACACCACCTCAGTCGTCGGGACTGACAGAACTGTGTCAGGACTGAATTTAGCTTAACATGATTGCAATTCTTTGAATTTAGGACATTCTGGACTGGCAATCGAAATGAAATGGGGTTTAACATCCTACTGTTCTGCTCCGAACTGGGCTAATGAAGACGCGGCATATGCCATACAGTGTGTTATGAGGGAAATTTTGCCTGGACAGTGGCACTACGGTCTACTCTTATATCGAATTCCAACTGTCAAGGGATCTTTTACGTGCATGCCAATGTGTACACGGGACCTTGGTTTTTCGTCTTCATTAGCCCAGCATAGGAGCAGAACAGTGGGACATTAAACCCAATTTCATTTCATTTGTGCTTATTACTGAGCGATGTTCCAACTAGACAATGATGATAATGACTAGAGAAATAAGCAGTAATTCTATTCCAGGGAGAGAGAGGGATGGGGTTTAACGTCCACTCGACACAAACTAGGTCATTTTGGGACTAACACATGGTTCAATTTTATTTCAATAATTCGCTTGCACATAGGGGTCTTTAGCCATGGGAGGAAATAGGTTGGATAGGCGACCCTACTCCTTGTCAAGTACAAACGGAGAATAGAAACCAAATGACATTCAGAGACTTCTATACCAGAGAAGAAAACCTACAAGGTTGGACAGGCTACCCTACTCCTTGTCACATACAAGCTGGGAACCGAAACCATGCCACTTGACTCAATGACAGACCTTGTGATTTAATGTGTTAAGTCTCTAGAACATCCACACACCTCCCACACCCCATAAATATTAACGCTTGTCCAATAAACAGACTGCATTCTAGTTTAAAGCTACATTATGGGAGATTAGATAAAGAGCTGGCAGTTCTCACTATAATAGTCAAAAACTAGATAATGTAAAGGCAATTTGCTGAAAATTTCAGTCAAATTGATCCACTATGAACCGAGAGGTAAGCGATGAAATTTCGGCCTAGCCTCAATCATCATTACTAAAGTCGGTATGATAAAAAACATAGTCTTGATTATCCGTTTCATGAATAAATCATGAAGGAAAGTTGAGCAGGAAATGGGATCATAACCCAGTAAATATTGCAGGCTAGCGATGACGTTGAGAGTTGATTAAAACCCATGAGGCTGGACAGGTGACCCTACTCCTTTTTTACCACTGCTAAAGATCCTTACATGCAAGGGAATTATTGAAATAAATTTTGATTTTTATTTTGTTATCTCAATTAAATGTTAAAAAATCTAAATAAGTGGATTAAGCCTTTGGAAAAATACTAATGACCAAGAGGGACTTTGGTACATGTAAATACATGCAATCGTTAATGCTAGGTTCCCACTATTAGGATTTGTGCTACGTCTGAAATCATGGTTTTAATCGTGGAGTAATCGTGGTGTTCGTATCAGGTCTTATGTTGATCGTATTGAAACGTATCCAAACATATCTGCACATACCAGATCTTGAACTCAATAGGGACAATACTATCGTAACACTTAGCATGATTGTGGGAAGCTAGCATTAGTTGCTTCAAGAACACATTTCATGTTATTTCAACTTAAACACATATATGTACAGTTGGCACTATAAAGTAGTGGATTATACACACACAAAACAAAATTAAACTAAAAGAGGCATTATGTAAGATTTATATCAAGATCTGACCGTTCTTGCTAAAATAGTTCAAAATAATAGATAAAGAAAAATGAATATAATCCAAATTTCAGCCAAAATACATTTTTCTGAGTGAATTTATAAAGTTTCGATAAGAAATAGTCTATATTTTCACGATTGTTTTCAATTTTCAGTCCTTCAATCGTCAGTCACAGAGAGTGACACCATACATAATGCATCTTACATAATGCATCAGGCGCTGTTTGTATTTTAGAGGAGAGCCAAAAAAAGCTCCCCAAATCAACAAATTAAAAATATCACTCCCCTGAAAAAAGCTCTCCCAGTTTCGATAAGAGAGATAAATGGGGTTTAACGTCCACTCGACACAAATTAGGTCATTTTGGGACTAATATATGGTTTAATTTTATTTCAATAATTAGGGGTCTTTAAAAGTGGGAGGAAACCGGAGGACCCGGAGAAAACCCACGAGGTTGGACAGGCAGCCCTACTCCTTGTCACGTACAACGGGGGATTCAAAACCCTGCCAGTTGACTCAATGACAGGCCTTATGATACAGCGCGCATGTGCTAACCATTCGGCCACCCAACCCCCCAGTTTCGATAAGAAGAGTAATTTAGAAATTAAGGAGAGTGATTAGTTGTGTGTATGAGAAATGGTTCTGAAGATCAAAACTGCATGTTAGGGGGTCATTCCCAGTTTCATAAATGATAATACCCCCCCCCCCCAACCCCCCATGACTTTGTAAAGGAGAGCAATTTTCAATTTTAAGGAGAGGGAGAAAAACCTCCACTCAGTCTACATTCAGGTGAGCGTCGGACGCTCGAGGGCAATCGCTCACCTTTTAAAAACAATGAATGATGCATACTTAAATACATGAAACATATTTAAACTAAAATACAAATATGGCTATGGGGATTACAAAATCGCAATTTTACTAGTCATCTGAAACTACAAATCAATTTACGACAATCTCCATTTCTCAAAAATTGTACATATTATATTTATTTCATGTAAGCCATGGGGGTACTCGATTGAACTTTCCAGAATTGAATTATCCCAATCCCAAGAATAGTGACAATTGAGTGAAAAGGGGGATTCGAGCTACAATGCATGTGTCATGATCTGCACAAGGAAATATCTCAACCAATCATGACATCTGAAACATATTTGTTGTGTTTATTTACATCATAATTCTACTCACACCACCTCAGTCGTCGGGACTGACAGAACTGTGTCAGGACTGAATTTAGCTTAACATGATTGCAATTCTTTGAATTTAGGACATTCTGGACTGGCAATCGAAATGAAATGGGGTTTAACATCCTACTGTTCTGCTCCGAACTGGGCTAATGAAGACGCGGCATATGCCATACAGTGTGTTATGAGGGAAATTTTGCCTGGACAGTGGCACTACGGTCTACTCTTATATCGAATTCCAACTGTCAAGGGATCTTTTACGTGCATGCCAATGTGTACACGGGACCTTGGTTTTTCGTCTTCATTAGCCCAGCATAGGAGCAGAACAGTGGGACATTAAACCCAATTTCATTTCATTTGTGCTTATTACTGGGCGATGTTCCAACTAGACAATGATGATAATGACTAGAGAAATAAGCAGTAATTCTATTCCAGGGAGAGAGAGGGATGGGGTTTAACGTCCACTCGACACAAACTAGGTCATTTTGGGACTAACACATGGTTCAATTTTATTTCAATAATTCGCTTGCACATAGGGGTCTTTAGCCATGGGAGGAAATAGGTTGGATAGGCGACCCTACTCCTTGTCAAGTACAAACGGAGAATAGAAACCAAATGACATTCAGAGACTTCTATACCAGAGAAGAAAACCTACAAGGTTGGACAGGCTACCCTACTCCTTGTCACATACAAGCTGGGAACCGAAACCATGCCACTTGACTCAATGACAGACCTTGTGATTTAATGTGTTAAGCCTCTAGAACATCCACACACCTCCCACACCCCATAAATATTAACGCTTGTCCAATAAACAGACTGCATTCTAGTTTAAAGCTACATTATGGGAGATTAGATAAAGAGCTGGCAGTTCTCACTATAATAGTCAAAAACTAGATAATGTAAAGGCAATTTGCTGAAAATTTCAGTCAAATTGATCCACTATGAACCGAGAGGTAAGCGATGAAATTTCGGCCTAGCCTCAATCATCATTACTAAAGTCGGTACGATAAAAAACATAGTCTTGATTATCCGTTTCATGAATAAATCATGAAGGAAAGTTGAGCAGGAAATGGGATCATAACCCAGTAAATATTGCAGGCTAGCGATGACGTTGAGAGTTGATTATGGTCTGGATAAGTTAATTAATATCTAATTAATAATTTAGATAACATTTCAGGCCTACAGAAAGATCTGAAATAGGCAGATTTAGCTCTTGCATAATGTATGTTTAATTTATCTAGATAAGGCCTCTGGTTTGTAGTTTAAATACACAAGCAAAATTGCATTTTGTAATTCGTGTATGTGGATATAGGGTCGGTGGAATTAAAGGACAATATTTGTGTCAGTCATTATCACATATTGTCCTTATATTATAAAGGCACCCAATGTGGAGGATAGTAGTCCGCTCGGACTGTCATATTAGCTATTTTTGTTCCTGGTTCTGGAAACAGATGATAGTAAACAACATCTCCCCCGGAAAGATAAGCCACCCACCAGGAAAATGTTCCGGAGGTTATTACTGTATGGTTACATTTGATCATCACAGCCAAATCAAGCGACACTTGATCCGGAGTGTTGTGAGAATAATACACGTCCGGACCTTGATCCAAATTATCTTCAGCCCAGTAAACATCATTGCTGATCATAATAAATAAAATATTTGAATATTTCCGACGAAAATAATTCATCGCTTTGTAATAATACGAAACGGGGGCTGCTGTAAATCCCTTGGACCTTTGCCGCACAAAGTCTCCTCTCCGCACATGAACTCCTATAATAAATGCACCCTGTTTTTTCTTTAAGGCAACTGCATCTCTTATAAATTGATCGGCTGCTTGAGAAATATCATCATGGAAGACAAAATGTTTCGTAATTAATTCTTTTCGAACATTTTCAAAATATTTCCACGATTGAAAATAACCATCGATGTACGTATTGTATGGACCTAAATGTTCTGTGTGTCGATCGTAGGATGCGACCATTTTTTCTTCATAATATTTATAATCTCCGAGATCCCCTAAATTTCCGACTTGCGCAGGCAGATTGAAAAATTCCCACAAATAGTTATCAGCGGATATCACTGGTAATAAATTATTACGTCGACTCACTCCAATTAAAGTAGCATAACAAAACATATTATTTCCAGTTCGTCCCTTAAATGAAACCATCAATTTTGGAATGTTGGCCTGTGACTTTAAAATTGGTTTTTGATTCAGGTGACGACGTTTGATTTTTGATTTAAATGGATCTATGTAAAGGTAGAGTAGTATCACCAACACCAATAAAAACATATAAAACAGTTGTTTTTTTCGAAGGAAGACTGCCATGGTCATGTTTCACTGTCTTACGTGCTGACTTTCCACTTGATCACCATTCTGAAAAATATAGGGAAAAAATTAAATTCAGATAAAATGACAAAAATTAGGTTTATTAATTGAAGTGTATAGGTACCTTAAAATTTATTTTTACCAAGAGACAGTTAAAGTAAAATATAAAGAAGTTAAGATGGCCGTCACAGAATGAGAACCATTAAAGTTGTCTGACATTTGAACACAGAACTGTCAAGGATTAAGATGCGAAGATATCATAAAAGTCATGAGAGATCCCAGCCAAGCACTATCGCTGTACAATATTGCTCCATGAAGGGAACAATGATTTACTATGGACAAATGAATACTAATAGCAAGACGAGAAGATTTAAAGTTTTCATGAATGAGCTAAAATTCAATTTATGGTCAAAATGGTCAAAATATATGGGTCAATAGATTTCCCCAAAACTACCAAAAACAGCTTTAATTACCCAAAACAACCTGTGTTTTGAATAAAACAACACAATTTATTGGGTTTATTTTTTTCATTTTCTATGTATAGATGATTAACATTCCCGTAACTTTCATATTTTTTAATAGTTCTGAAAAATAAACGGAAATAAATATACATGTATTGCAAAGATAATACATTTTAAAAAACATTAATTTTTCTTTGATAAAAATACCATGCATGCCTTTATGGGCATTATGCCCATTACTCTATAAATCTAACCCATTATTGACTGTCAACAGTCGTTCATTCTTTGCGCTTAACTTCCACTTCCATCAAGGGTGATATCACAAACAAATGAATATTGGTAGGTGTACTCTATGGTTTCGGGTGCCATTTTGTAATGAACAAATAAAAACATACCCCACAACAAAATGTGGAAGTAATTAATAAAGGCTGATACAACCGACAAAATAATTTCAAAAACGTGTAAAATGTACTAAACAGACGTAAACATCTGAGGATCAATTTGAACTGTTCAAGTATTTCACCAAACCTTTATATTTTTTTCAAAAACTGAATATTAATCACTTTACATACATTCATATTATCGGTACATTAATATGTGCTTTTAGAACCATTTTTGTCTATTTCGAGGTTAAATAAAAATAGAGTTGTACGCTCTTTAAAATTGTAACTTTTTTGTATCAAAATTTCACCTCAAAATGCGATTTCCAAGCAAGTCTGGAAGTTGCATCCAAGGGACATAACTCGTGTATTTGCATGAAATCACTTGCGTCTTGCTTGGAAATTGTATTTTGAGGGACATTTTTTAAAAACAAAAGCATCATGAATTTAAATCAAAAATGTCAATTTGGCATAAAGAAGAGAATATTATCAAACATAGATATAAATTATTATACGAGTTGAAATAATGGTGGATTTGGGCGTCTAGATTAAGCATGGTGCATGGACCTTTAATAGATGTATTATAAGGTCCATGGAGTTCATCCAGATATTCCGATATTCCTGTGTTGCAGGATGGAGGGCCTGACAAAGGACAGCTGTCTAGTCGTTCAGATGGGACGAAAAACCGAGGTCCGGTGTATGCATTGGCGTGTCCATGTAAAAGATCCCCCTTGACAGTTAGAATTCCATATAAGAGTCGGCCGTAGTGTCACTGTCCGGGCAAAATTTCCCTCCTATTATCATAGGACACTGTACAGTGTATGTGTATGGCGTAGGCCTATGCCCATCTTCATTAGCTACGAGAACGTAACTAAAAACGCTGAGATATACTGATGTGCTTGTTTTTAGCTACGATCGGATGCCTTTAGTCCCAAGTGGCAAACTCAATTTCTTTATTAATGTATGTACCATCTTAAAAATAAGTTAATTTTATACTATTAGTACTTATTACACATACATAGTCCAATCTACTGAAACAACATTCATTTATCAGCAAATATTGACAATGAAGTAAATCAAGCATTGTTTTTATCAAAATTGATTCGGACGTTCATAATTACCCCGTAATACCTACTGTGCAACTCTGATCAGATGGGTACTTTAATTGGCTATTGCACACGAGGCCCCGCCTTTATGTGTTACAGACGTAAATTTAAAATGTCGGAAAAAGCAATCTACTGTCGCTTTGATTTAACAAGAGGGGATTTGTACCCGTTTCAGGTAGGATTATATACTTAACTGTAGTTGGGTGTGGCAGAAATATTATAAATAACAATTAAAAAAAATTAATAACCAATCGTTGTTTTGATTAAAAATATTGTCAATTTTGTTTACAAATGCCGGGTGTGAATCGCTCCCGCATGTGCTACATTGAAGGTAATGGCATCATCTCTTATCTCGAAACACGGAGGGTTGAGAGATTAAGGTTTGTTATCTAGTCTTCATTAGCCCAGTTCGGAGTAGAACAGTAGGACGTTAAATTTTAAACCTCATTTCATTTGTAAGGTCCATGGTTTATTGTATTGTATTACATCATCAGTGTCATCTTTGATTATGTGATGCTAAAATCACACTTCTAGCTAGACAATAAAATACTTTTTGCCCAATAATAATACCAACCAATGGCAATAAATTATAAATTAGATACGGTACCGGTACTGTAGTAATTAGAATAAAATTTTGTTTAGTTATAACTTCCAGTGAACAGTATGTTCCGTTGATTCAAGGATGTTTTTAGTATGATTATTGGCAGTATTTAAATAGAAACACATGTTTAAAATATATATATATATATATAACCAGACAACTTTACCAGCAAAATTTAGGTCTGTAACCATTGTCATTGTTATTGTTGTTATCGACCCTGTTTCAAGGGAGATAACATTCGGCAAACCTCGGCGGATTCCGGTACCTCCCGTTAAGGCCCATGCACACGGTGCGACTTGTAGTAACTACTTGTAGTATCGACATGTAGTATCGTATATAAATGAGTTGATACGACTTGGAATCTCGCGATAATCTGGTCTTGTCTTAGCATAATGGCGTCTTCAAGCGACGAAGAGACGCTGGCTATTATATTGCTCTTGATGGGTGCGCGTCGCGTTCATGTTTACCAACAACAAAGGGAGAGAACTCGTGTTTGTACTAATATTCGACGTCTCTGATTGGTCAATTTCATACGATCTGTTGACTCAAATAGGGAAGTTTCTATTTCGCTCAACTCGCTTTCATCTGGTTGGGAGCTTGTAAAAGTTGGTACGACTAGCGAGATCACGCTGCATCTCGGGTCGATACTACAAGTCGCACCGTGAGAATGGGCCTTTAGATTCGTAAAATCTGCCGAGGTTTGCCGAATGGGGAGATAAAAGATGAACAATTAGGGCGTACTCGATTGAACGTCCCGAAAAAAGTGACAATCGAATGAAAATGGGTACTTCGGGCTACAACGCATGCGTCGACTGAATATATTATAAATATCTCTTCCAACCATGCAGCCGAATTTGTCTACGATATCACCTTAGGTGGAAGTGGACGTAAAACCCCAGAAACGAACGAACGATGCAGCCGAACTTGTCTACGATATCAACTTAGGTGGAAGTGGACGTAAAACTCTAGAAACGAACGAACCATGCAGCCGAAACCTGTTCGTCGTGTTTAATTACATAACAAATTTATCTATTCGGGACGTTCCGGTGTGATAGTTTGAGTTGACTCCTGGTGTGTGTTTTCTCCTGGGCAATTGCGCATGTCCGAAACTGATGTTTGCCTTAACAACGAAACTATATCTACTTCCTGCGGTGCGAGTTTGTTCCTGGTCAGTACAGGAAAAAGTATATCATGTACTTGATTAAGAGTTTTGTCATTAATAAACATACTTGTTATCGTGATTAGCTGTTGTTTTAGATAGTTACATAGATAGATTTTATTACATAAAACACCCTTTTCGGGCAGCATGTAAATTATACATTACAGTCAGCATGCTAAATACATTATAAAGTGGATGAAAAATAGTGATGAGTAGTTACACGATCAACGGATCTAAGTTGATTGGCTTGAAATTGATACTTCTATCGTTCGTGATTTGTTACCGTTGTTTTTTTTTAGTGATTAGTCGTTCTTCACACGCACGATCAGTGGAAACCATACAAATTGATGATTGGCTTGAAATTATCAATTAATTCACCTCCAAAGGAAGATTAAGGCCTTTGATATTTCGTGGCTTCATTTATCACAAATATAAAAGTATGGAATTTCTTATTCCGATTTCTTTAACATAAATATAAATTTATTATACCATCCCATACATTCAAACATGCATGTAGACAGCCCAAATACAAGAGAAAATGTTCGCATTGTGGACGGGTATATATACTAAATAATAATAATAAAGATCGTCAATTTGCATCCTCTCTTGGTGGTAATACTGTAAATATCGGTACATAATAGTCTATATATTGATTTGACCATAAGAAAATCTTAGGGGAAATCCTATCACGAGGAGTCAATGCACACCGCGACTGTAACGGTGTGAGTTGACTCCTACAACTGCGCATGCGCCAAACGGGCATCACACACAAGGAACCATCTGAAACTGCCACACCGGACTGTGAATCGAGCATCCATTAACTATCTTTAGGGGGATGCTCGATTAAACGTTCGGGAATTGAATTCTGTCAAACCCCAAAAATAGTGACAATCGAGTGAAAATGGGATTTTGGGCTAGAACGCATGCGCTGACTGCATGAGAAAATAATTATCTCCAACAACCACGACAGCATCTTCATTAGGTCTAATTTACGTCAGGATTCTACTCACACCACCTCCGTTGTCGGTACTGACAACTGAATTCCGCGTCACTCGATTGCAATTCCGTCAATTCGGAGCGTTCTGGACTGACAATCGAGCATCCCCAATGTCTTCACAGGTCGATGATTATCATCACACCAATACTAGACCGCGCGCTCCCACTGTTGACTTCCGGTAGTGGGTGAAAGTAAGTAAGTCAACTAGTTTCTGATGTCAACACATGGACATGCTCTCGATAAATAAGACCTAATTAGACTTGATTTTAATAGGAAATTTTAATCAAGAATGAATATGTACGGTTCTTGAATCTTCTGTTTATTTAACAAATGATAAAATTGTAGATGGCTAAATATGGATTCATAATAAAGTAATGAAAGGCCGAGATGGGCAACCTTTCACGTCTGAAGAAGACTGAAGTAAAATCTTTTAAAATGTAAAAAGATTATCATTAATAATAATAATAATTTTATTTATTCTGTATGCATATCATACGATGTATAAATACAGATAACACTTGAACATATTGAGAATGATTGTTCAAGCAATTATATAGAATTTATTAATGAATAATGAAAAGATGGATAATTTTAACATAAGCCTAATAAATTAATTAATTTTTGGATATAGATATAAAAGTGATTTTTCAAGCAATTAAAAATAATTTAGTTTATGATTTCTGGACTTATAATTTCAACATAATAAATTATTTAATTTTTAGATAAAAATATATGACTATGAGTGATTTTTCAAGCAATTAAAAAGAATTTAGTGTATAATATATGGACGAATAGTTCTAACATAATACATTTTTGGATATAAAAATAAGAGTGATTTTTCACCTAATTAAAAAAAAAATAGTGTTTAAGGACGTATCATTTTAACATAATAAATTATTTAATTTTTTGGATATTCCAAGGGATTATAGAGAAATTAGTTAATAATAAATGGAAGGATAATTTTAACATAATAAATTGTTTAATTTTTGGATAACATAAATATAAGAGTTATTTTTCAAGTGATTATAATGAATTTAGTGCATTTTATATGAACGGATAATTTTTGTATCACCCGAATTATGTTATACATCGCATGCGCGAAGTAGATGTACCGGGTAAGAGTTTTTTTCCATCCACTGGTGTGGGCTAGGATAAGGGTTAGGAATGGCCCAAGGTTAGGGTTAGGGCTAGCCCTGTCTACATCTCGAGACTCTGACGAAATCTGCAGGCCACAGCCCTTACCCTAACCTTTATCCTAACCTACAATCCACATATGACGTCATAACACATGGCTCCAGTGGATGGAAAAAAACGCTTACCGACGTACCGCAAGTGACTTCCGGTAGAATGCACGGCTATGAACTGATATTTATGAAGTTTTAACACGAAGACCGTATTTCTAACTTCCTTATTTCTATTTTTAATCATATGTATTTTTGTCACCTAACTGATTCTTCTGAACTATTTTGAAAGAAAAAAAAAAAGATGCATTCAAAATATTTTCGTAGCAAAAATAAAAATCTTGATATTGTATTCACAATAAAAAAGTTCCCCGGGATTTTGCAGCGTGGTTTCTTCCTGTCGGTAGTGCAGGGCGGAGGGCCTGGCAAAGAACAGTGTCTAGTTGTGTAGGTGCCCCCCCTCCCCCCCCCAAAAAAAACAAAACAAACCCACGTACACATTGGCGTGCACATCAAAGAACCATTCACATCTGGGATTCGATGAAGAAATGCCACTGCCCAGGGAAAATTCCCCCATACCACATTGCATAGCGTATGCCCATTTTCACTAGCCCGATTGGTGCAGAAAAGTAGGACGTTAAACCCCATTTCATTGACTCAATTGGTAGAAAATTTGATATGACATATTTTAAAAAAATAGAGAAAAAGTAACCATGAAAATATAATTTAAAGATACATTATGGGAGATTAGATCAAGAGCTGGCAGTTCTCACTATAATACACGTAGTTAAAAACTAGATACTGTAAGCGGAATTTGCTGAAAATTTCAGTCAAATTGATCCACTATGAACCGAGATTTTAGCGATTGAATTTTCGGCCTAGCCTCGATCATCATTACTAAAGTCGGTAGGATAAAAAACATAGTCTAGATTATCCATTACTAAAGTCGGTAGGATAAAAAACATAGTCTCGATTATCCATTTCATGATTAAATTATGAATGGAAGTCGAACAGCAAATTGGGACCTAATCCAACAAACATCATAGGATAGCGATGCCATCGAGAGTTGATTATGGTCTGGATAAGTTAATTAATGTCTAATTAAATTTAGATAACATTTCAGGCCTAAAGAAAGACCTGCAATAGGCCCATTTAGCTCTTGCATAATGTATGTTTAAAATGAATGAATGCTATTATGGGCTTATTAAATTGTATATAATCGTAAAACATAAACATATATGGAATGGGGTTTAACATCTTGTCAATACATACAATACTTCAGTATTTCTTTAGGGTAACATGTGGTAATCTTTATTCTATGACTGTTTGTAAAATGCAAGGAAGGAGAATTTTGCCCGGACAGCGTCTATCAGTCCATGCTTCTTCGATTTTGAACTGGCAAGGGTTCTTTTAAGTACATACGTACAGGTTTCTTTTTTTGTTAGAACAATATTACTAACAAATATTTACACAACAATAAGATACCGGTACATAAAAAAAGAACTCCTTTATTCATTTTTAATAATTACAGATATTAACAAAGAATAACCCAATACATAAAAAAAAACTTCTTTATCAATACTTAAGCATCTTTTATTCGCCCACATTTTCATGTGGACGTATTGTCACGTATTATGCTGTTACCATTGTTCATCCGGACGTCTGTCGACATTGGTTTGTGGACACTCTACGGGTCACAATTGTTATCCGACTTAGATGAAGCTTACAATATTTGTTTATTTCCCAATTTGAAGTTGAAAATGATATTTTTGCCAATTTCTCAACTAGCAATAGTGAATTATAGGATTAATAGGATGATTCTTTAACAAGGTAGGACTGTTTATAGATACCGTCTATTTTAGGGCTTTATT